ACATAATAATACATAATAATAACATAATAATAATAATAATAATAATTTTATAATATAACATTTACGGATATCATAAAAATGGGAGTGAGAGACATCTATAACTGAAATCGGCAATTACTTAGTTGCCAACCCAATATAAAACTAAAGTTCTGAAAAAAGATACCTCCGAACTTAATGTAGTAGACATAGTTATTTATTTCTAGTTAGTTATTATTATTTATTTAGTTAGTTAGTTTTAGTTATTTATTTGTAGATAGGTTATTTGTACAGATTACATCAGAATTTGCATTCTTCTGCACCGATGCATTTTTCCCTATGAAACCGTTCCGTGAAACGCTCCGGCGAAACTGTCACCGCGATGTCTCGCAAATCACTTGGATCCAAAAAAAAGGGTACGGTATTGGCAATACGAACCCGGTCTAGTCACCGGTCGTCGATACTATCGATCATGAATTCGCGTCCGGTGCCGGAGGAAAGATGTTCCCCTAGATCGCTATCGAACATCGGCGCGCATCAAAATAAAGTTGTTCCGCGAGCCGCTCGGATACTAGCTCAATCAATTAACGTCACCCCGTTCAAAAGCAACGTTATGTGTTCACCAGTCAAGGCTGCCTGTTGTACATGGGAGCGCAGATAGCATCGGGCATGAGGTTTCTCGAGTCGAAGAATCTGGTGCACAAGGACCTGGCAGCCAGAAACTGTCTAGTGGGCCGATCTTATACCGTGAAAGTGACCGACATAGCGATGTGCAGTGACCTTTACAAGAAGGATTACAGTGACATAGGCGGCAGACCGCCGGCGCCAATCAGATGGCTGCCGTGGGAAAGCATTCTGCTGGTAAATCATTTTTCTCTCTCTCCTACAATCTACAACTCCAATCCTGATCATAATCCTGAAGCCAATACCACAATGTTAAGTAATCTGCTGATCGATAACATTTACCGAATCGCTTTTGAATTTTAGGACAGCAAATCATTTTTCGCTCCCCTGTAATCTGAAACCCTAATCCACATCGTGATCTTGAAATCTGCACCATAATATTGAGTGATCTTCTACTGGTTAGAATTTACCGAATCATTTTTTAATTTTAATCTTATCATAATTATTCCTCCTATAATCCTGATCACAATCCTGACATCTGTGCCGCAACGTCAAGTGATCTTCTACGCGCTACATGTGCCGAATTGCTTCCGAATTTCAGGATAGGTACACTTGTTCGAGCAGCGTTTGGTCCTTCGCCGTCACTCTCTGGGAGGTGATGAGCTTGGCCAGGGAGAAGCCTTTCCAACATCTAACCAACGATCAAGTCATACAAAACGCCGAGCATATGTACTATGGAGCCGAGCTGCAGGTAGCTAAACCGGGAAATCGACATTAAGTGTCAGCTTATGTTTGTTAAAAAAATGAGGGATTTGGATGTGCACCGTTCGAAACTGATCCTCAATTTTATGAGCTTCGTTCGAGCCTTTTTGGGGTTTGGTTCTGCAGTGTTGAACCTTGAATTTTGTGGATTTACAACTTCTTAGAGTGATCAGAGAAAAACGGAAAACAAGTGGCTTCTGTTCCTTGAAACTATACAGAAAATTTCTGTTTTGTATGAAGATCCACGGCCTAGTAATAATTGATACAACATCGAAACAAGTTATTGTTAAGTCTCCAGTTAATCCACAATAAGTAGCTAATTAACTAACGACTTTAATTGCAGTTGGAACATCAATAATTATGGTATGAAATAAGCTCGAGTATCAACATCTAAATATTATATAAAGATTTCTAATATAGCATAGATTATTTTTAAATTACCAAAAAAATTTTTTTCCACTTTCATTAAAAATCATGTGTGAAATTAATTCAGATTCAGGGAGAATTATAATATATACTCCTGTGGATGAACAAAAAATCGAAATAAATGTTGATAAAGTACGGGATCACCTCCTCCTGACGGATCAAAAAATAATGAATTTAAATTACAGTCAGTTAATAATATGGTAATTGAACCTGCTAAAACAGGTAAAGATCAAATTACAGATCACGAAAGTAGGGGGATTTGATCGTAATTTAACGATAAGATTTTTGATATTATAACTGATATAATAAAATTAATTGCTCCCATTGAATTGAGGAGATTCCTGAAATATGAAGAGAAAAATAATAAAATAAAACCAACTGAAGATAAGGGGTGATATTCAATTGATAATAGAGGAGGATAAACAGTTCATCCTGTTCCTGATCCTGTATTAAATACATTTCTTAAAATTAAAAGAAATAATGATGGGATTAATAATCAGAATCTTATATTATTTATTCGAGGAAACGCTGTGTATCCGAGGCTACAATTATTAAAGATACTAGTCAATTTCCAAGTCCACCAATTATAAAAGCTATAACTATGACAAAAATTATAATAAATGCATGAGAGGTAACAACAGGATTATAAATTTATTCATCCTCTTGGAGCTCTTAGTTCTATTCGAATAATCATACTTAGCGAGGCACCTAGAGTACCGGATCATATTGCAAAGATAAAATATAATATACCAATATTATTATGGTTCGTTGAATAATATATTAGGTCTACCGGAAAGTTCTGTCCGATAGTGTCACTTCAAGTTTCAATCCATATGCACATGTTGATTTGAGACATATATGACTATCTCTCTTTATCATTGCATTTACACGCATGTACTCTCCTAAATAAACTGAAACGAAGATGTCTCGTGTCGTTATTAAGCGAGACGCGATTGTGAGAACATGGCTACCGATGATAATGCCAGACCACATGCTGCTTTGGCGACTCGTCAGAAAATCGCAGAGCCAGGCTGGGAAATTCTGTCGCATCCACCATACTCCCCAGATCTAGCACCCTCCGATTATCACTTGTTTCTCTCTTTGCAAAACTTTTTACAGGAAAAAAAATTAAAAACCGAAGCTGATGTCAAGCAAGCACTAGTCGAGTTCTTCGCCTCTAAAAATAAATCATTTTTTAAAAATGGCATTTACAAGTTGCCATCACGCTGGCAAGAAGTCATAAGTAACGATGGAAAGTATATTCTGCGATAAATAATATTAAATGTATGTAAATTGTGTTACATTTCAATTCAAAAACGGACAGAACTTTCCGGTAGACCTAATATATCTAGGAAATAGGAAGATGAATAATTCACACAATCGTTTAGTCTACGCCCGGCGAAAAGATGATCTAAACTAAGATTGCGGTTCTACTAGAAATTGTCTGTATACGTTGAAAGAAAACAGGAGTCACTTAGAGAGGAATGTTCTTATATGTAATACTTTTATTAAGTCGAAAGCAACGTATCGACACTTCTCGGTTCTTCTAATGTTCCTATACTGTTTTCAATGGCAGCTTCGCAATTTAACATAACCAGTTTTTGAATTGGTGAAAAACAGCGTCTCGGTTGCAGGTGTATCTACCGAGACCGACGATGTGTCCGGACGAGGTCTACAGGATGATGTGTTCATGCTGGCGGAGGGACGAGACCTCGAGGCCGACGTTCAAAGACATTTACACGTTCCTGAAAAACCTGATCGAGGACTACCGGCCCGGTGCATAATAATCCCGGTTAACTGTGATACCGAAAAGCGGACGGAGAATCTTCTTTCCGAGCGTCGACCTGGTCGATCTCTCGTGCTCGGACTCTTCAGAAGTGTACAATCGTTAGTTTTTAGTGCATGCGTTGGAAACGGGCCGCGAGGTGAACTCTATCCCACTAGCTTTCAAGCAGAAACAAACCCTTGTCAGACCTCTCTCGTTCACGGTGACGGGTTCAACACGGGTCTCGGATTCTGTTGTCGTCCAGGAAACGCAGGAAACAAAGACGATCACGATGACGGCATCTTCGCCCGGCAGCTCGATGAAAGACACCGCCTCCGATAATTTTCTAGTCAGCTCGGTCCTTCGATTCCTACGACAAAAATTGGTACCGTGTACAGTAATCCCTGGACACTGACGACGCGAGTACGCTGCGACAATGCTGAGCACTGATAAGTCTATCCACTTGTACATACGAATCTAGATATCGGCGCTAGACGACACACGACGGGAGGTTCTCGCGGTAGCTGGTGCCTTTGTAGACCGCTTTTATAATAATAATAACCGTCTTCACGTTCGTACACCGATTATTCAATCATCGGGTCGAGCAACATTTGCATTTCCGTTCTTCGATCAGTTACCGTTCCGATACGTTCGACGATTCCAGGGAATCGGAGTCTGATTCCGAGGCGACGTCGTGCACGCTGCTGGACGAAATTCTCAGGCACTCCGAGAATTCGTGAGACCTTAGTGTCCCAAAAGGGCATGGAACTTTGTCACTCGAGCGCCACAAACGTGCCATTGGAACACTGTATTTAGAAAGTTATTCTTGAAAGCTACAGTTCCGTTGAGATTTTTATGTCGAAATATTGAAAATACTTAAATATGACGATAAAATATGACGACGAAAGTAAATGTATTGGCATCTGGGACATATTTTATTCCAGATGTTGGAAGCATGTCGTTTGATTCTGTACGTAACAAAATATCGGAATTATTCATTTCTGCTATTATTTCAGTCTTTGAGGATCAATCCAGTCTCTCCGAGGAAAATATTCGTAACTTCTTTAATTCGTTTAATAAATTTTAATTTATTATTATTTAATATATCTTATATATATATATATAATATATTATATAATTTTAATAATATATTATACATAATATATATAATATATTATATAATTTTAATAATATATTATACATAATATATATAATATATTATATGATATAATATATAATATATATATATATAAATTTAATTTATTATTATAATATATCACGAAGAAACTTCAAAAGAATATGCGAAATCGCGAATAATCGCACTTGGAACCGTTTTGAAAATCAATGGAAGATTTCAATCGACAGCAAGCAATACGATTAAACGATACACGATTCTGATCACGTTGATCGGATTTCACGAACCGAAAGCTTCCATTTTCCAATTTTGTCCGTGTTCACGATCCACGACGTTGCCTTTCGGCGAATCACAAACGATCGGCCACCAGCTGCCCGTGAAAACTCCGACTAACTTGTACATTCGAAGCCCGTCAGTAGCGAAGTACTTATATCGTTCCATTGTATTCCTTTTCGTTTGAAAAGAGGAAAGAGATCTCACTATCTTTAGCGGGCAGTAGACTCGGACACCTGATGGACACTACTGAAAATATTTATCGCATCACGGAAGTCCGCTTATCGGTGACATCTGTCATTCTTTTCACTGCTTCCGAGGTAGACACGTTGGTATCCAGCTTATTTTTGGCCTAGATACAGTGCTGGTTATGCTCGAATTCTGTTAATTAATTAGACTCGCAGGGGAGAATAACGAAATCAGTAATTAAAGAAATTTTCATTCATAATGTAACCTTCGATTGAGCCGTTTATTTCGAAAGTGGCGTAAGTCACTTTGTTTCTAAGTCGATATATTAGGAGGACCGGAAAGTAATGTCGTTTTTGCGCATATCTATCTGTTTGAATTTAATGTAAACAAACGACATAACTTTCCGGTCCCCCTAATATTTAAGAGTTTGCGTTTTAACACGTTTAAAAATATGGATGCTAACTTTCGAGAAGATTTACTTGTATTTGTTATCTCAGGATACCGATACTTTTCTCGGTATAAATAATTTCGTGTAAACATTAAAAAATCACCACTTTTCATTACGGTAAAGTGACTTATGCCACTTTCAAAATAAACCGCTCGATTGTCAAGTAAAGCGAAAGCAATTTGAAAGAATAGTTTAACTAACGTTAAACACTGTTCTTGTCAAAGTTTAAGCTGAATTCGAAACCTAGATCATAAATTTTGTTAACAGGTAATTTCACTAAATTATTTAAACAACATAAGGATAGAGTCGCATTATGGATAATGTTAAATAATTGTTTAATTTCTGGTTTGTCTAATCTTTCTTATCAGTTATTATCTAGAATCCCCAACATACTTCTGTTGTTTTCCGTGCACCAGGTTATCTCAAAATTTCTTTCCACGTTTTTTACTAAATGAATATCATGTACACAAAATTTCCCAAGATACGTTCATCGGTCATGAATAAATTGCTTATCTCGACTAAAATGTATCGAACAGATCGTTCGCGCTTAACATCGACCCTCACACGCTCCACGCTTACATAAAAACCCCTCCCACAGTGTACAAGCATTCTCGTTTTACGCTTTACGTCGATCAATCATTTTACATTAAGAATCGAATACTTTGTCAAATTAATCGCTATCGTAGAAAAACAGAAAATGGTACAGTATTCCGAATAGAAAGTAAAGAGCGTGTGAGGGTAAATTATCGGAGAACCGTTCCGAAGTCAGTAAAAGTTCAGTAAAAACCTGAAAAGAACTTTTGGGACGGAACCGAAGATCTTCGTCTAAAACAATGCAGTTAATCGTTGATATCCCAATCGCTGTTCGCTCCAATTGAAATGCCTTCTACAACCGACGCTTTGATACTCATTACATAATTAAGAAAGAACTCGATAAAGGTTGAACCGTTCGATATTGAGAGAATGCGGCGCGAGTGTTGGCGGGGGCTTGATGTTCGAACGATGCTGTAGATATTTCCAGTGGCGTAAGTCTGTTCTCTTCGCGCGAACGCGACGCATATCCACGCTCCTTCTTTGATCTACGATTTAAGGGCAGAGATCCACGGGGGACGTAGCGACGTAACTGTCATGCTTCGAGAGGAATCGATGCGAGTTCATAAGCTGCGCCGCACTCGAATTCCAAGAGACCGCGAACGAACGTTTGAACGCGACGATGACGAGAGCCGGGCAAACAAAAAAAGAAAAGGATGGAGAACAGCATTTCTTTTTTCGTCGACGGACCCGATCGATATCGACCATCGCCATGTGATCGACGGCCGAACACGTGTGGAATCGATCGCGAGGGGTAAATAGGGAAACGTGTTTATTGTTCGTTCTTGGTTAAGTGCCAAAACAAAAAAGGGTCAAGCGTTCAAACGTTCCCCTCTGCACGCACCTTTCTGTAATTCTTAAGATGAATTCAAGTATACGTTCAAATGATTAACAATAAAGTACTGAGTATTCCTTTCTGACACTGGCCGTGTTCTTATTTGAGCCGTTTACTTTGAAAGTGGCGTAAGTCGCTTTGTTTTTAAGTCGATATATTTAAGGGTTTGCGTTTGAACACGTTTCAAAATATGGATGCCAACTTTCGAGAAGATTTACTTGTATTTGTTGTCTCAGGATACTGATACTTTTCTCGGTATAAATAATTTCGTATAAACATTAACAAATCACCACTTTTCATCACGGCAAATTGACTTATGCCACTTTCAAAATAAACGGCTCATTTCTTTTAAGTTCTTCTACACAAGGCGCTTCATGAGATAAAATTAAAAATCCAAGTATCGTTCTTTAAATTGACAATTTCTTTCGTGCATTTTTTCTTTCAATCTTAATTCAACTAAGAATTATTAATCTCCGTATGTTTCTTTGCGAGAAAGTTCGCCGGTTTTCTGTTTTTCGATACTGCACAACCTTTCATTTCTCTCTATTTGTGTTAAAAAAAATCTTATTCTTTAAATGATGGAATTATAAATGAAACGCAATTCATTGATTCGAGACGTAAAGCATAATTTGACGATGCATGAGTCCAGTATCTTACGTATAACTATATCTGAGGACTATATGACTATTTATTAATTAAATGATCGAAAATTGAAGAAAATGATCGGAACCAAAGGTAGATCACTTCTCAATGTCTCTGGAACACCGTAAATACATCTTCGACAATGCGTTGTTTTGATTCAATTAACACTAGAGCTACCAAACCAGTCGAAGTGGTTTCTGATATTTTCTTTTACAATTCCTGATATTATATGAGCCGTTTATTTTGAAAGTGGCACAAGTCACTTTGTTTTTAAGTCGATATATTTAAGGGTTCGCGTTTCAACACGTTTAAAAATATGGATGCTCACTTTCGAGAAGATTTACTTGTATTTGTTGTCTCAGGATACTGATATTTTTCTCGGTATAAATAATTTCGTATAAACATTAACAAATCACCACTTTTCATCACGGCAAATTGACTTATGCCACTTTCAAAATAAACGGCTCATTTCTTTTAAGTTCTTCTACACAAGGCGCTTCATGAGATAAAATTAAAAATCCAAGTATCGTTCTTTAAATTGACAATTTCTTTCGTGCATTTTTTCTTTCAATCTTAATTCAACTAAGAATTATTAATCTCCGTATGTTTCTTTGCGAGAAAGTTCGCCGGTTTTCTGTTTTTCGATACTGCACAACCTTTCATTTCTCTCTATTTGTGTTAAAAAAAATCTTATTCTTTAAATGATGGAATTATAAATGAAACGCAATTCATTGATTCGAGACGTAAAGCATAATTTGACGATGCATGAGTCCAGTATCTTACGTATAACTATATCTGAGGACTATATGACTATTTATTAATTAAATGATCGAAAATTGAAGAAAATGATCGGAACCAAAGGTAGATCACTTCTCAATGTCTCTGGAACACCGTAAATACATCTTCGACAATGCGTTGTTTTGATTCAATTAACACTAGAGCTACCAAACCAGTCGAAGTGGTTTCTGATATTTTCTTTTACAATTCCTGATATTATATGAGCCGTTTATTTTGAAAGTGGCACAAGTCACTTTGTTTTTAAGTCGATATATTTAAGGGTTCGCGTTTCAACACGTTTAAAAATATGGATGCTCACTTTCGAGAAGATTTACTTGTATTTGTTGTCTCAGGATACTGATATTTTTCTCGGTATAAATAATTTCGTATAAACATTAACAAATCACCACTTTTCATCACGGTAAATTGACATATGCCACTTTCAAAATAAACGGCTCGATTGTCAAGTAAAGCGAAAGCAACTTGAAAGAATATTTTAACTAACGTTAAACACTATTCTTGTCAAAGTTTAAGCTAAATTGGAAACCTAGATCATAAATTTTGTTAACAGGTGATTTCACTAAATTATTTCAACAATATAAGGATAGAGTCGCATTATGAATAATATTAAATAATTGTTTACAATCTGGTTTGTCATTTACAATTTCTAGATCAATTTCAGTC